AAAAAAAAAAAAAAGATTTTTCGAAGGATATCAGCATGCCGGGTGCCTCCTGAAGGGTATGGTCCGGATGTTGAGACAGCTCCCAAACTGTGCCATTTAAGGACTCTGGGGGTGGACAGCGGTCTTCGTCAAATCTCGGCAGTATTGCAGCACACGTGGTGCATGCTAATTCTGTGGGTCCCCCATAGCATAGGGCAAAGGCAAAGTACATAGTGGCAGAGGAACAAAACACTGTCCAAACTGTCCATAAGTGAGACAGGAAGCATTGTGGGGTAGTGAGCTCTCTGTCACTGAGGGTATCCAAGTAGCAGATGCTATGGATCAGCTTGTCCACTGCCCAGAAGGCCACTGTGGAAGGGAACACAACCAGATAATTTTCAAGGTCACTTACACCTCTGAGATTAAAGAGACTGCACAGAAGCCACCTTACCCACTAATATTTTCAACCGTCTGTCCAATCCATTCATTTATTCTAAAGGGGATTCAGGTACATATGAAGTATAGGCCAGTATTGGGCTCTGGAGAGACAGACATGAATAAGATGCTGCCCTTTTCCTGGAGTAGCCCATCATCAAGTTGGGAGACAAGACTTTCAAATTATTAGATATAAAGGAGTCCATCTAATAATAGAAGTGACCGACTAGCTGGGGATGAAATGGAGTGGTGGGAGGGTTAGCAGGGAAGTTTTCACAAAACAGAAGATGCTTGAAATGGGTTTTAAAGGGTATGTAGGAGTCTTCCAGGCAGACTCAGGTGAAAGAGAATTTCAGGCAGAGGGAACGGCATATATAAAGTCAGTCTCAGAAGTTTGAAACACCTGAAATTGTCTGTGGGCCTTACGTTTAGTTCCTTATCTTTGGAATATTAATATAAGGGCAAGAAATGAGGCTGGAGGGGCATGTAGGGTGAAGTCATTAGGGACCTTGAATTAAAGACTAGAATTTATCCTGAAGATAATGGCAAGGGGAGTAACTGGGTCCTATTCACATTTTAGAAAGATCTCTCTGATTACAGTTGAGAATGGATTGGAGGGGACAAAACCAAAGCAAGAGAAACCAGTGAGGAGACTCATGGGAAAGTGTTTCTCCAGGTAAATTCACTATTTGCAAGAACTGTGGCTGTGCATTAGAATCACCCAGGGAGTTTAAACCCTGCTGATGGCCTGCGTCCCATCCCCAGAGAGTCTGACTGAACTTAATAGGGCCGTGGCTTTGGGAGTTTTAAAGCTTCCATCAGATGATTCTAATGTACAGCCATAACAAAACTCTCAGCGAATTATAACTGAAACCCTAGCCCATGGTAGGTACTCAACAGATTTTTTCCCCCAAAATAATTATGAAAATATTTGGAGCGTCCTATTCTTGGTTTCATACCACTTTGGGGTGGATATAATGGAATGAACAGTTGGCTTTTATCACAGAGAGTTTCAGGTAGAACATCCATCCCCAGAGTGGGCTTAAACCTTGAGAAGTCCAGTGTTACCTGTGAGACAGTCACAGCCCACCATTGCGGAGAGCCAGGACTATGTGGGCCCGGCAGTTGTCTGCAACAGCTGGTGCTAGCGGGCCTGGCCAGGAGAATGAGGCCCCAGGCTGGAATCTGAGTTCCAAGAGTTACATGTAAAAAGCAAGAACCATTTGCAATCAAGAGCTGTCCTACACAAGTGGCAAGGGGGGTGCAGGGAGATGGTCATTTGTAATGAGGAGGAAGGAGGAGGAAGAGGACGAGGAGAAAAAGGAGAGACAGGCCCTCCGTTTGAAAAGTAAGCACTTTCCTCTCTCCGTGGCATTTTTGTCACACTCAGATTTAGGGCAGAGATTGGGAAGACAATCTAGTACCCCCCTTCTGAAACCCTGGGGAAAGCGAGGTTGGAGAACACAGCTTCGCCAGGCAGCTCAGGCAAGGGCCTCCCACCCCATCTCCATTCCATCTAGAATGGCGAGGTCGCAGAATGAGGACTAGTTCTACGTACCCAACCACTGCAGAGTTGAGGATCATGGTCACGCTTCTAGAAAAAAGGTCGGCAGAGTGCATCCACAGGCTAAATCCAACCCAACACCTGTTTTGGTAAATAAAGTTTCATCAGAACATAGCCATGCCCATTTGTTTGCCTTTTGTCTGTCACTGCGTTCACTCTGCAACCAGAGTTTGAGTGGCCGCAGCATGGAGTACTTGGCCTACAAAGCCCATGCTGCCCAGTCTCTGACCCATTACAGAAAGTGTGCCTACCTCTTCTCTAGAAGACCCGCCCAGGTTGGCTTAACACATGGGAGACTGGGAGCAAGAAAGGGGGTACTGTGCATGAGCTGGGCTTTTCACAGGCAGTTGTGCTGCCTGCCTATGAAACACAGCCCACTGATGGAATTTCTGACTGTTTGGCTTATGGACTGCTTATTGGGGCTGAACCTAGTAAGGGATGGATGGGAAAAGGCAAGGCCAGTGTAATAAGGTGAGTGGATGCTCCTTTCCCCTGAGCTGCAGACAGGGAGCTGTGTAGACTGACGGTATTGCAGGTCCAGCCCTCAGAAGCAGTGCAGGGCCCACAAGCAGGGCATTCAGCCCACGCCACAGGGTGCAGGGTGGAAAGAGTAATCAAAATGTGGCCAGGTCTTCATGCTTCTGGAGCTTTCCTACAGCTGTTCCTGCTCCCCTGAATGCCCATCTTCGTTCTCTGTGAGAGAAGCAACTTCACCTGCCCCTGTGTTTCCATAGCTCTTGGCTCATAACTCTGCTAATCGTTCCACATGGTTGTGGACTTGTCTGTCTCCTCTTGGGTTGATGACTCCCACCCCTTCCCCCAGCTCTGACTGTGAGCTTCTATGTCCAACTTCGTACTCAGCATGGATGTCGACTAGTCATCTCAAACATGGCCCCTGCTACACTGTTCTCACTGTGTGGGACATGGCAAGAAGCACACAGCACTCAGCAAGGGCCAGGCGCTGTTCTAAGCACTCAATGTGCCCAGAACACAACACGTAATTCCTGCCTCTCCGGTCTCTTTCTCCCCTTGTATTTCTTCTCCATCTCTGCAAATGCCACGGCTCTCCACTCACTTCTTCAAGCCAACAGTCTAGGAGCCAGCCTTCATCCCTCTTTCCTTCATAGTCCACACCTACAGCAGATGTGTTGGCCTGCCCCTGTCCCCTCTACATTCATGTTCCCATGCACGCTCACCCAATGCCAGCCACCTAGAAACACCTGTGGCTTGTTGCCCAAGGACTTTCTTAGAGAATATGCACAGCTTACCTGCAGAGCATGGCAGAAGTGCCAAGGGATTTCCTAAGCATTGTCCTCAACCAATGGTCAATGGGAATTTGTGGGTAAATACCCCAACACGTGGTGGGCCGGTGAGATTAAACCCCAGGTGTACACGGTGCTGACTTGTTCACTGAGATACTTGGACTGACTTCCTTCCCGTGTTTGTATCATTTCCCCCACTCTCCCACCCATGCTCCTTAGGATTGCCTCCAAAGAAGATCTCATATTCAAATCCTTGTTTCCAAGTCTGCTTCTGAGGGAACCAAAATCTACAGTATTCAACTGAACATCCTGAAAATAATCACTTCTCGCTACATCTACTGCCACCATCCTGGTAAAGGGGACAAGGTGCCCTCATCTCTTACCTGGACTATTGCAACAGCTTCCTAACTGATCTCCCTGCTTCCTCCCCGGGCCTCCTAAGAGCCTGCATCCCATACATGAGCCAGAATGTAAAACCTAAATCAGATCAGCTAACTGCACTGCTCAAAACCCTCCAGAGGCTTTCCATCTCACTTAGAATGATATCCAACTCGTTACCAGTGACCACAATACCTTACAGAGCCTGAACTGTCCCAGCCCACCCAGATGCTCTCACCACTGCTCTCCCTGCCTCACCCTTGAATACGGTCATTTGGTTACCTCTTTTGCACCTGCTCTTCCCTCTGCCTGGAAAGCACGTCCTGCTTTTGGCACAACTGGCTTTTTCACATGATTAAGGAGTTAGGTTAACTGTTCCCTTCTCAGAGAAGCCCTCCCAGACTGTATAATCTGAAGAAATTCTCATCCTCCATCACTATCCCTTCTCCCTGATTAATTTTCTTCATAGCACTTTCCACAACCTGAAATTATATATGTTTGCTCTTTTACTTGCGGCGTCGCCCAGTTGACTGGAAGCTCAAAGGCGACTTTGCCTATTTCTCTGTATCCTGAGTACCTACAACAGCGCCGAATACATATTAGGGACTCAATAAATACCCGTCGAATGAATGAATGAGTTAATGAGCAAATGAGTCCCGTACTGGGCCAGATTTGGACTCTGGACACACAGAAGGCATCAATGACATTTGAGTCAATGAACGAGTGGATAAGTCCACGAAGGGGCCAAGTCTACGTTCTCCCCAGGCCACATCCAAGAACGCGGAGCCCTTTATACTGAGTGACCCATCCCAGTGGATCTGATCCCCCCCCACACCCCCCGGCTCATCTACACATGGAGAAAGCCCCTATCTCAGGCCGTTCTAACCACTCTATTCTTCCTCTTTTAGGCCTTACCAGAGGGGCAGACAGCTTCGTGGGACACAGCCAAAGAGGATGAAAACCGCAATAAGAATCGATACGGAAACATCATCTCCTGTAAGAGCCCTGAGGGTTTGGGGAGCAGCCAGCTCAGGGCCCAGAGGAGCCCAAGGCAACTCTGGTCACACAAGGGACAGGGTTTAAGGCATCATGACTTCTGCCGGCCCCCACTGCTAGGGTGGTGGCTGTTGTAAGGTGAGTGTCTGCCACGCAGGCCCTGCGTTGGCCAAGACACTTGGTGGCCCTGAGCCTGCAGGAGGAAAACATGTTTTGTACTGAGATTGGGGAGGCATGCAAGATCATTGCCTTTTGCTCGACAACGAGCTTTAACATTCCTGTAATCACCGCTCATACGTGGTTTGATGAAGGCAATGAAGCGGAGCAGTTTGAGCCCTGTGGAGTCAGACTGCCTGGGCTTCCATCCCAGCTATGGGGCCCTGGGCAAGTTACCTGACCTCTCTAAGCTTCAGTTTCTTCCCTCGGAAATGACACAAACAACAAAGACAGGGTTATTTTAAAAAGGTACATGAACCTTTGCCCAGTGCTTGGCGCCATTACTCTTGGCCATAGAGTTAGTTTCTCGTGGTCCCTGAAGATCAGTACAGATATATAATTTCACCTTTTATTTTTTTGAAGATTTTATTTATTTATTTGACAGAGAGAGACACAGCGAGAGAGGGAACACAAGCAGGGGGTGTGGGAGAGGGAGAAGCAGGCTTCCCGCTGAGCAGGGAGCCCGATGCGGGGCTCGATCCCTGGATCGAAAGCCCGAGCCAAAGGCAGACGCTTAATGACTGAGCCACTCAGGCACCCCAATTCCACCTTCTTTTAACCAGAAATCACTGACTACCCATCTGGGGACATGGGATAAACTGGGTTGGTGGGGGGATGGGCATGATCAGATGTCCAGTTTTGAAAGATCACTAGGGTAGCTGATTGGGAGAGTGGATTAGAGTGTGAGAGACCGGAGGCAGAGGGACTGGTCAGGAGGCTACTGCAGTGGTCCCAGCGAGGGACAATGAGGCCTGAACAAGGACAGTGCCAACATTTGTGTGTGACTGTGCATAATATTCAGTGCTAGATGATGAGGCAGGGAGAGAGGAGAGGTCACACGGTATCATCACTGCCAAATATTGGTATGTACAGCCTTCAAAGCAGCATAAATACAGAGAGGACAAAGTTACCTCATACAAAATGTTGAGCGCATGGTCTGATTAGAACAGAGTTGACAACAGCCTTTGTCTGCCATGGTGTACTCAACCTGGACCTTTTGACATCTCACCAATTGTGTGCATTGCATTTCTGGTCTCAGCTCTCAGGATTACCCCATCTAGCCAGAAACAGAGGGGAAAAAAAGACCTTGAATAACAAATTATTTCTAGCACAGTTCAGTGTTTTGTTTTGTTTAACTGTCTAGACATTGCCTAAGAAAAAAAACTTGGAGGAAGAAAACATAAGATACAGGCAGCTTGCAAAGGAAGAAAGAGGCAGAAGTTTTAGCTTAGCTGTTTCCTGTGCTGATTTAGGAATGGGCTATGAATGGTAGAACTAATCAGAAAACATTTATAATTTGTCTCTTGGAAGACAGTAATGCAGGCAGCAAGATTTATTGCAAGTGAAGCGTTGGAAAGAGATGCTCGAACAATCAGGAAGTGTGTTATTAAGACCCATAACTCGTGGGCCTCCGTTGAGCCAGGCCCTGTGCTGGACCCTCAGTCTCTGCTCCCACAGAGCTCCTGCGCTGGGCACAGGTAGCTGCTCACTCTGACCATCCTCTGCTTGAGCACTGTGCATACCATTCCCTAAAATATCTGGCCACTTGTCCGTTCCCCCTTTCAGATTGTGAGTTTAGAGAGGGGCCACTAAATTATAGGCTGTGAGACCTTAGGTGATCACACCAAACCTTAGTCGTCTCTCTGTAAATTGGGTACAATGATGTCTTCCTCCCAGGGCGTTGCGCAGATAAGAAAAGATAAATGACTAGAGCACAGTGAAGAGCCTTTGCCTCCCTGAGAGACAAGGATATCCAGCCTGGGCCAGGTATCCACGCAAAAGCCTGTGGGGGCTAAGGATGAAAAGCCACACCAAGCTGTCTGTCTTCCAGACTTCTCTTCTCATCCTTGGCATCCAGGACCTTTGCCCAAGCCATTGTCAGGTCTCACCTGGACTCCGCCCAGCCTTCTTCCTACTGCTGCACATCTAATCTGACCCCAAATTCCACCTATCTGATCTCTGACAGAAGCCAGAGGGACATCCTCAAAATGGGAATTGGATCGTGTCATTTTCCTATTGAAAGCCCTTCAAATGGCTTTCCTGCATTTCTAAGCACTCCTTATCCAAAGGCCCTCAGCCACCTCTCCACTCCCATTTCATATCGTGTCCTCTCCATCCCAGTGTCCTCAATTAAGCCACACTGATCTTCATTCAGTCCCTTGAGCTTTCTGTGCTCACTCATGCCACAGGGCCTTTGCACACTCTGTGTACTCTATCAAAGTGCCCTTCCCCCCTCACTTTGCTCTGCTAAGTTCTACTTATTCTTCAGATCCTTCTTGGTCATCACTTCTTCAGGGAATTCCTCAGGCCCTTCAAATTTGGTCAAAACCTCATTATTCACTCCTTGGGCACACTGCCTGTCTTCTCCTTAACCCTCGTCATCATTGTGATTTGAGAGGCATTTGGATGACTATCTGTTGACTGCCTGTTTTCCTCACTGGAATAGATGCTCTGTGACAGCAGGAAGATGACTGTACTTCTGTGTCCCCAAACCTGGCATATGGTTGGGGCTCAGTAAATAGGAACTTAATGTTGGAAAGCAGACTCTCTGCAAGACCCCGAAGGGCTTCAGCCATGGACCTCTCCCTTCTGGCTTCTCAAATAAAGGAGAGAATATTCAGGAAGCATGGAGGGAGGTAAGCTGGAGCAGGATGACAGGGGGCACAAAGATTTGCCAGTAGGAAGAAGCTACTGAGCCTGAGTGGGGGCAGAGAGACAGGACACAGGAAAGGGCCAGAAGAGAACCATTCTGTCCCGTCTGAGAGCTGCGTCTTGGAAGGCAGGATTCCAAGTAGCAAGGAAAACAATGAAAGGGATTGAACTCCATCACTGGGGGTGCAGAAGACGCTGTCAGCATGCATCCCACCCACACCCCACGGCCTCACCACCTGGTGTTTGGAACCAGCAGGCAGTCTGGCATCCTGCGCCGGGACTAAGGTGAGCGAGCGAGGCACCCAGAGTGCAACATTCAAGGAGATGCTGTGCTCGGCTGCATGACCCTGAGAGCAAGCGCCTCACTGAGGTGTATGCCCTGGACACCTCACTTGCTTCCCCCTCGTGCTGCCCTGTCACCTGAGGACCTGCTCCCAAGCTGGGGCAAGACACTCTGTGCAAAAGGCAGTCTTTCCCTAGCCAATGAAATAGCCCAGCTCCTTCCCATCCCACTGAGGGTGTGTTCTTCACCTTTTCCAGAGTTCCGTCAGGGCCTGGGCTGCCGTTTCCCACCGCAGGAACGGGCTTGAAAACTCCCCCTTGGGGGCTACATTCTCTCGGCCGCCTCCCTGCCCCCCTTCCTGCTGGTGCCCCCTTCCTGCATAAACTATGTGCACCAGGATCCTCCTCTCGCATCTCCTTCTGGGAAAACCCAAAGGAGGCAGAGGGAATTCAAACACCTAACATTACCATCCTGACGGGCTCGAACAAACCTGAATCTCCTTTCTCACGGAAGGGTCAGTAATTCTACAGGATACTGCGGCCTGGGTGGGTCTGCACTCCCTAAAAAGGAGACAGGATCAGGCAACCCGTGCATTCAAAAACCCTGGAAGACATACCGAGGAACCAAGCAAAGAAAGACTCCTAGAATTGAAATGAGAAAGGGAAAAGGGAGACAGCCCCGAGGAATGGAAAGTGTTCCTGTCCTTGTATGTGTCCCTCCCAAAGGCAAAGTCTGTCGCGGCTTGATAAATAGAAATATTCTTGGCACAAGAAGAAAACGGGGTGTGATTAGCATCTTAAGGAACCCGGAGCTCTGGGAGGCTGGAGTGGAGGACAAAGGCCCAGGCCAGGAAGACAGAGAAGATTAAAGGGGAAGAGGAAGAGGGAAGGCACTGCTTGCAAATGAAACAATGAAAGAGAAACCTTGGTTAAATTAGCCCTTTCTTCCAAATGAGGCTGTCTAGAATTTGGTAGCAGAGACAGTGGGGTTTCCAGGGGTGGGATGACAAGGAAATGAAAGGGAAGGAAGTGAATGGAGATCCAGAACAAAGAGTTCTTTGCATTCAAGCAGCTCTGGGGCAGAGACTGTGGACAAGGGGAAATTTCAATAATACCCCAGCGTTCCCATGTGGATGTTCTTTTGGAGGGGGCTCCCTGGGCTGGTGGGAAGAAGTTACAGCGAGGAGAGGAAGCGATTGCAGAGGTTGCAGGTTTCATCAACTCTGTCAGGGTCCCAGCAGGAAACAGATGAGACGCTCAAGGAGGGGGATGTGAAGAGCTGAGGAAGTAAGCATACGTTGGTCACATTCTCTTTTGGTCCAGTTCCTGCAGGGGCTTTCCATTGGCCAAACCCAACCCGAAGCCAGAGGACAAGGGAATCTGCAGACCTAGTCCACTGGGCCCGGGTGTACTAGAATACTGGACATGGGCTCAGGCAGAGCCGGGTTCTAGTCTCAGTTCCACCCTTGACTGGGTGCATGACCTTCGGCAAGGTCACTTCATCTCTCTGACCCTCAGTTTCTCCTCTCTCAGTGTACAGAGGGCAAATTAAGATGAATAACTACTGAATCCAAATCCAGTGTAGAGACTTTTAAACCCAGCTGAGACTTAGTCCAGCCTCTCTGAGTTCACTGGTGAGGAGTAATGGTCCAGAGATGTAGAGTCCCCGGCCCAGGTCACACAGCAAGTCTGTAGGATGGTCACACCCAGCCCTCCTGGCTTGTAGCGGCTGGGGTACCAAGTGACCCTGGCAAGGAATCCTTCTGCATCAAGACACATCATGCTAAGGGCTCCAACCTCAGAACAAATGGCCGACTGGGATGAGCTCTTCAGACTCACTTCTGGGGGAG